AACACACCCATAATAATATTTCAAAAGAATATTGATATATTTTTATTGAAGAAATAATAGTAAAATACAACGTGCTCTCGAATTAGCACAAGTTTCAAAAAATATGTTATTTTAATTTAATATTTATCCATAAAGGAAAACACGTAACTTATGTCACATTGATATTGACTCTTTGATGTTTAATCATATTCCTCAAAACTAATTGTATTTCTTTTTGCATTATTGTGAAATTGCTCAAATTGTAAACATCACAAAATTATAGATGAATTGTCGAGATATTTGTTTAGTTGATGGTGCAAATATGCGCACTATTTTTAAGACAAAAAGTCTTTTCTAGACTTAATATTTGTAGAAAATTATGTTAATACAATATCAAGTGTATAGAATATTGTTGAAAGTTTCGAAAGAGTTTGTATTATTTTATCAAATAATACAAAATTATATATTGACGATGAAATTTATTGTAGCAAATTCAAAAGAAATTCGCTTAGTTTTAAAGATATCCGATGCAATGGATATCACATTGAGATGATGCAAGAAAATAATGTTAATATCTTTGCATAACTTCTTTTGTATCTTACTAGAAGCAGATAAAAAAAAATTCAGGCACTCACATCTAGCATGTATTATATATTTATAAAAATGGTCAAATCAAATATTATCATGAACTGAAGTTTGTTGATAAAAAAAATTTATAATTTGGCACGATCGACTTAGATATCTAGGAGCTATAATGATGCGTCGAATAATAAACAACTCACATGGATATTCTTTAAAGAACCAGATGATTCATTTACTTAATGATTATCCATGTGTAACTTGTTGCAAGACAAGTTAGTCATTAAACTTTCAACTATAATGAAGAGCTACAAAACTGCAAATTATTTGAAAAATGAATTTGAGATAAAAGATTTGAGAAAAACCAAATTCTATATCGGATTGTAGATTGAACATTCCCAAAAATGATTTTTTGTTCATCAATTTACATATACATAAAAAGTTTTAAAACGATTTTATATGGATAATGCACATCTATTGACATCACCTATAGTTGTTCGATCACTTGATGTGAAAAATAATCATTTTCGTCTACTTGAAGATGGAGAAAAGATTTTTGGTTATGAAGTACCATATCTTAGTGCAATTGGAGCATTAACTTATCTTGCAAACTGTACTAGACTAGACATAGCTTTTTTCTGTAAATCTCTGTTGCAAAATATAGCTCTACACCAACACAAAGACATAGAAAATATGTTAAACATATTTTTCGTTACCTAAAAGGGTACTATTGATTTGTGACTATTTTATTTTCAAAAGTCGGGATCTGCTTTAGTAAGATATACAAATGCAGGCTTTCTCTCTGACCTACATAAAGCTAAATCACAAACAAAATACGTGTTTATGTTAGAAATAT